GGGGGGGGGGGGGGGGGGGAGGGTGGGGAAGGTGAAAGGGATACACTGAGCGCGGGTTACACACGGCGCGCGCCAGACATGGTTTACGTAACGGGTCTAATAGTGGGTTGGGGCATACACTGCCACACAAACATGGTTTACGTAACGGGTCTAATAGTGGGTTGGGGCATACACTGCCACATATAGATAATGATTTTTTTTTTTAAATGTCAAGATATCACACTTGGGATTAGTTTTTTTGGGGCAGTTCAGTTTCTTTGGTGCTTAGCAATACAAGAAAAAAAGTAAATATCAACACTCTTTCATAGACTTTTAAAACACTTGCTTTTTCAGGTGAACTCACAATTTCCCCATCCAAGGAACGTTTTGTGAAAGCTTTAGAAAGCACCCTGAGCAATATTTCTTCTGTTTTGACATCCAGAGCAATTACTCTTGATTGGTGGAATCAAGACAGAGAATCTCTAGATGGCAATACAAGCACACGGTCTGAGAACTTCAAGTCATCAAAGTAAGATTGTTAGAGCACTGTGTGATCTTTTAATGGTTATTTCACTAGCTAACTCTTAGGTTTGTCAAATTTTATGTGATTCAAAATAGCCATTAAAATAAGAAACAATTTGCTTTCAAAAGAAAATAAATTTAAAAAACTCACATATTTGTGTGATAATAATATTGTTTCATGTGACCACTTACATGCAGGTTGTCTCAGACCATGAGTCACACAGAATATAAAAGTGGTCGGGCATCTCATGATAGCACAAGTCAACACCACAGCCTAGGCAGCAGATCTGTTGACAGTGAAATAAATACAGCTCGAAGCACAGTTCAGCAGGACACAGCACCTTCTGAAAGGAGCCTTAGTTTGCCCAATCTGACTCAGCAAGGTTAATTATATTTTATTTTTCTAACATACAGAATTGATCATTATATATATAGCTGACAAAATGAAGTGTTAAGCCTAGAAACTAACTGTTATTTAAATGTAGATTGCAGATCCATTAAAAGTAAAATGAAAAACTTGGCTGAAGATGCAAAGCAAAACAAACAAAAAAAACTTTGTTGAAGCTTTCATGAACAAACTACTACAGATCAAGTATGAAAAAGATTAAAATTTTTGTAGATTTGAAAAACAAATTTAAAGTTAAAGAAGCTTCCTAATTGAATCATCCTTCTTGACATCAGCTCCTTAAATATAATTTTTAAAAAAAAATCGATTAAAAAAAAAAAAAACCTTTCCATTTTTCTAGATTATTTTCTATGCTAAATATTTGTTTGTAGAGAAATTCTAAAAATAAACTTATTATTTTTAAAATAAATCCACAGAAAAATTAATTTGATTTCATAATTCCAATTTGTATATTGCAGCTTTACCATCAAAGGAAATGGATGAATTGGGTGTTGCCACACCTGATCTTGTCATAATGCACACTGAGGATGAAGCTCTGATGGTGGAAGGTGAGGGATTTGTTGGTCAGTACGAGCCACTGTCTCAAGCCAATTTGAAGGAGAAACTTTTAGCAGAGTAAGTGCTTGCAGAGTTTGCATTAAAACAGAAATGACAGTATACTGTATTTCATTGATGAGATATTATTTGCAGGATGTCTGTGCATTCAAGGAAAGCTAATACTTATAAATGCAGAAGATGGGTATTTCTTTGTTATGATCACTGGTTAATATAAATATGCAAGAGGCAAATATGTTAGTATAAACCAATGAGTAAAGTGATTGTGAATTTATTTTTCCAACATCATAAAACTCATGAAATCAATAGAATAACTATAGATATCTCAACATATGTATTGTAACATGTTAAAGTATGGACTGATAGTTTGGCTGGCATGTTATGACTTTTATTAATTAAGAACAAAGATATACAATGAAAAATATATTTTGAAAAATTAAATCTCTCGTTATTAGTCAAGAGTATCAAGAAGCTCTGAAGAAACAAGGGGAGTTCCTGCAAAGTGCTTTGTCTGACATAGACTTGTACTGCCAGTCAAACAAATGGCTTGTAGAGATACAAAAGTACTGCCTCTTGTGGAATAATGAAAGTTCCCAGGAATACAAAGCAGCAGCAGGTTTTGTCATAGAGGCATGTTTAGTTTATTAAAGTTATCTCAAATTATAGTTATAGTGTTATGATAGTTAAACATTTATTAAACATTTATTATTTTTCAATCGATCAAGCTGTTAACTATTTAAAGAATATTAGTTTTGACTACTGCACTGTTCAAAGAAATTTATAATTCCATTTTTGTGGATCCAGACTGCTTTCTAAAATCTTATAAAGATACAAAGGAAATATTAAGTTTTTCATGGGGATCTTTAAATTTTATCTAAAATTCTTGTAAAAATATTTTTCTGGATCCTCATTTTTCATCAAACCATAACTGTAATGAACAGGTCCATGACCTGCCTCTGCCTTCATGACCAGTGTTTTCAAATGGGTTAATCATACAAAAGTCTAGAAGGGTTAACATTCAACACCCATATGATAATATTAGTTTAGCTAATACACGAGAGGACATACGTTGACTTTCTCTATCGCAAAATAAAATGAAACAAAGGGATATAAAAATATTTTATAGTTAAATGACTTATAAATCATTATTATTTATTATGGGGTAATTTCATCTTTTGATAATGTTTGATTTATTTCTCCATATTTTCTCAATACTAATTTTAGGTTATTTTAATTCAATTTTTTTTTTAAAGCAAAAATTAACAGAGCTGCGCATGTGGTCAGACAGAGTGAGGAATTTTGACCGTAATTACATTACAGAGAATGGAATGTTCTATCTTGACTGCTCTGCAATACATGAGGGGCTCTTACCTAGGTTGAATGAAATTTGCCAGGAGCTGGTCACTTTTGTTGCAGATCAAGCCAATGTTTTGGCTCAGGATTTGGTGGAAGAAATGACAAAGATTTTGAAGGTACCTATAGTTCTTATTAATTTTATATTTAAACCATGGAATTGATTGTTGTTTTTTTAATCCGTGAAAAGATGAATCTCATGTTACATTTTATTTCAATGTTTTATTATTTTATGCAATTAAACTTTCCAAGTAAAGACATAGATGTGTTAAAAAACACCAAAAAAAAAAATTGTATGACTTATATTTATTAATGTTTTGCAGAATATGTCTGATAAAAAAACTGATGTCTTGTCTTTTGCCTCTCTGGCAAAGAATTTCACCAACTATAAGAAA